GAAACATGCCAACATTTTGCCAGACGCTTATGTGGAGAGGATTGTTCTGGTGATACCTCCGAGTTCGACAGCTCAATCACTGTTGCCCACCCGACTGATGTAGGGCTCGAATGGGCCGAGGCCGGGCTGGAGATTACATCAGCCTCAGAATGGCCATGACTCAGAGACAGGCTCGGGATTGATACCGAAACCTGTGGCTTCGGTACAAAGTGTCTGTGGCTGTGGTACAAAGCCATCCCCTTCAGAAAGCAATTCAGGATCATGAAGCTCCTCGAAGATTCCTCGAGTATTGGCGAAGGCAGAGTCACTCGAACTGGAGGGGATTCCTTAAGTTGAACAGACTTAGAAGGCTGTTTAGCCTTTTTATGTTTAACTACCCCCTTCTTTTTCTTGGGATCTTTAAAAGATGGCAAATTCGATGTTGATGCTGTCCTCGATGTTGAAGACGTCTTCAACTTGGACACCATCGAAGAAGCTCTCGAAGAAGGGGTAGCAGGCGCTGGCAAGGCAGTGGGATTGGGATGAGGAGTGGCAGGAGCAGGAGTCATGGTAGGTTCCATGGTTGTCGAGCTTGACATGGGATTGATACCGAAACCTGTGGCTTCGGTACAAAGTGTCTGTGGCTGTGGTACAAAGCCATCCCCTTCAGAAAGCAATTCAGGATCATGAAGCTCCTCGAAGATTCCTCGAGTATTGGCGAAGGCAGAGTCACTCGAACTGGAGGGGATTCCTTAAGTTGAACAGACTTAGAAGGCTGTTTAGCCTTTTTATGTTTAACTACCCCCTTCTTTTTCTTGGGATCTTTAAAAGATGGCAAATTCGATGTTGATGCTGTCCTCGATGTTGAAGACGTCTTCAACTTGGACACCATCGAAGAAGCTCTCGAAGAAGGGGTAGCAGGTGCTGGCAAGGCAGTGGGATTGGGACGAGGAGTGGCAGGAGCAGGAGTCATGGTAGGTTCCATGGTTGTCGAGCTTGACATTATTAACGACTTCTCCCAAAGATATGAGCGGAGTCACTGTAAGTGGAGCTTCAGGGCAGCCTTGGTTAAATTTTTGCACTCTTGAAAAGAGTTGGGCTGCTGTCTTCCCCCAAACAGAATAAACAACAGCCGTGGCTGTCCGTGAAAGGAATCTTGTTAGCACACAATGTACAGCATTTGAACAGGCCTGAAGAGGCCATAAAATTTGGCAGGAACAGGGAAAGGTGGGGGAAAGTGAAAAAAGAAAAAGACTCACGGAAAACGTTAACAATAGCAGTCCAGGATCAAAAACTGAGGAGTCAAGCCGAGAAGACAAAGATCCAAGTATCAAGTCCAATTCCATAACCCAAATCACAAACGTCCAAAAGCCAAAAACCAGACACAATAACGGCAGCCAATCCAAAATGCAAGACTCGAGAATCAGGTAAGTTCAAGTCAAAATACTCCAGGTAAGAAAATACGTAGTCAAGAAAACAGGCTGAGATCAAAACCAGAAAATTTAAATGAATTGAAAACAGCTTTGTGAAGGAGTCTGACTGCAGCAGCGGCAAAAAGGAACTGAGGTACCACGGGCGGACGGGGCATGCACACCACGGGGAAATGTTCTATTCCTCAGTTACTTAAGCTCTAGAATATTCTGAAGAGTCCTGCGCAGGTGCAGTTTAACCCATTCATGTGCACTCACAGAGACTATGAAGGACAGAAGTCAAAATAACGTGTAATGCTTTATTGATTGGATGTAATTCTCCAAGTATTCAAGAGTTGTTTGCTAGTGTTTATTTTCTCTCCCCTTCTCCTTCTTCTGCAGCATTTCAAAACCCATCAAAATAACTGTAATGATATAATCTCTGCAGTAAGTTTACACAAATGAGCTTAACTCCATCTTGTACACCTGGTCAAGATAAGTCAGCTTTGAACTCAGACTTTTTAAAAGTCAAATGTTTGTATGTATAGGGGAGCAGGAAGAGAGACTTTGAGTATCTTTATACCAACAACTTTCCCCATTTTTGTGGGATGCTTTTGTTGCCTGCTCTAAACTTAATAAGTAAATAAATTGGCACAGGGAAAACTCAGTGCTGGGAAAACTTTGGCCATCCTGTTTTTCCACAACTACAGTTTCCCTCATCCTCAGCCAGCATGGTCAAGGATGGAAAGAGCTGCAGGAGGATGGGAACAGCAGTCCAGCAGCATCTACAAGATTGCAGTTTCTATTATTACATAGTGCATGAACAAATTCCATGCAAAGTGCCATTTATCTGCGCAACCACTTAATATTTCTGCAAAATAACTTCCACTGGCTATACTGTAACAGAAAGAGAGCAGCATTGTGCAAGATGGATATAAAAAATATAGTCTTTAAAGAAAAAGAAAAATCTACAAAAATATCAAGAGTCCTGATTCTCCTCCCAGTGTTCAATATTATTGACCTTCTGATTTTCAGACAGATTATGCTGTTGTTTTTGGATTCTCTGCGGTTTTTCCTCTCATTTATCTTACAGAAAACAGATGCCTGCAAAATCATCAACGTTTTTTCAACTGGCTATACCCATCAGGTAAAACGATGCAATCCTATAGTCATGAAAATGGCTGCAACAGCACACAAACACAAGAAAAATAAAAACGTCAACTGTCTAGCTAGATATAAAAATCCATAGTTTAGAATTTGGAGAAGCATAGCTTAAATATTTTAGGTAGTTAAAAAAAAGGTCCAAAGGAAAAGTACATCAGGTGTAAAAACCAAGGGCCAAGAGTCATTTCAAAAAATGGCAAAACCTCTATGAAAAAAAATCCATAACCAGCAGACAGATCAGCATTTGTATTGCCTGCTTAGTATCTTTCAAATGATATTCAAGGTGAAGGACATGGTGACTGTGCTGCAACTGACAAGCAAATCCCTACACCAGCCCATCATTTCCAACATGGAATACAACTTTCCATGTCAGAATCGGTCATAGTATTGGCCTAAAGCTGCAATCCTATGCAGATACCCAAGAGTAAGCACCAATGAATTCATAGTGGAGCTTCTGAGTCAACATATACAGGAATACATTGAATCTCCTGTACTATAAAGTACAATTTTAAGGTGTAACTTATTTTAAGATTCAGAAATGCAAACATCTGTGGAACATCAGCAGAAATACTACCTATCTTTGATTTTAACTAAACTACCATATATAGATTCTAACTATTCTAATTAAAGTTGCTACTACAAGCCTTACTCATTTTTCGACTCCAGATAACTGATCTAAGTAGTCTTGCAGTTAAAAAACAGCTGTAGTTCACCTCTCACATTCAGTGGGCAAATTATGTTGTTAGTTTGACTTTTCAAGTTATACTGTGGCATCATAAACAGGAATGTTTTGGTGAGCTGCTACACTGTGTTAAAGAGAGAAGCTGCCTGCATCTATGTCAGTATATCACCTTGTTAGGTTTGGCACCAGGAAAACTAAATGGCCACTATCACCAATACCTCCAGCCCAGACTCCATCTTTTAAAGCTCTACCCTCTCCCTTTCTCTCCCTCCATTGAGATATTTGAGCATGGTGGTCAGGGGTGGGTTACTGGGTGTGTATGTCCCTGGGCCACTTTTCCACTCCCAGGACTCACTATGGGCTGCATCATAGCCCAAAAATGTCAAACAAAGGGGGCAAGGGCAAAACAGGGAATGCACAACCATCCATTTTAGGGTTGGGGGGCTGGGTCACAGGGATTGGGAGAGATATGGTTTCAAACCACTGCTCCTGGAGTTTTGCACCAGAGCTGCATGTAGTCCACAGACCACACCATGCCCATCCATTTTGGAAGAACAAGTTCGTGTATTTGATGCATGGAGACTTGCATGTTGTTTCACCAAACCTTTCACAGTGGCCAATAATTTTGAGGAAGGAGGAGGGGGCACAAGTTGGACCAGACAGATCTTGATCAGTAGCCAGTTGGGTGCCACATAACACAGAGATCATCTAGTACCGGGCAAATCGCACAGTGTACAAACACAGCTACTTTAGTGCCCTGTTATTGGTCATCAGAACCGAAATTACAACAGCAGCATTGCTAGTGCTTAAGTGTTAGCTCTTCCCTTCTGCCACTATCGCAAGAACAAACAAGTTCCTGGTTTTCTGCTCAAGAAGCAATTATATGGATAAAAAAAAGAAACCAATCTATTCAAGAAAGGCTGTGAGAAAATAAACTTAACCAGAGTCTTCTATCCACATTACTGAATACTGTGATGAAGAAAATTTCTATAGTCCTGAGGTCATACCTTGAGTTTCCCTTGTCATCCTTAAAGTACTCTCAAGTCAGGGTGCTTTCCCTCTCTGAATGTTAGTTAATGTTAGGTTAATGTAGTTCTGCACTGCTGCAATTTCATATTTTTCCCTGACTCAGCTCCTGAAACTGATTTGTGGATTATCCATTAGTTTGTTCAGAAGAGACAGAGAATCAATAGAAACTTTTCACAAATAGGCTTTCCAAATGTTCATACTTAGTTTGGACATTTGAATGGCTGCAGCACACAGTTCTTCAAAGCCCCTCCTTATTGTTAATAAAAAATATATAATTTCTTCCCTAAGTAAAGCTTTGCCAGCATATCTATAAAGAAGACAAATCATGGTAGTCAGAAATGAAGAAACCTTTAAAGATAGAACCTTTAAAACCATTTGAAGTGCTTTGAAAAAATAACTGATATTGACCTGTAATTACATTAATTCTATAAAGCTAACTTTCTTGATGGGGAGAGGAGAGAGTGAATTGAACATGGTGGGAATCATCTGGTTCCAAGGATTTCCTTCCATCACATCCACTTGGCAAAAAACCTATAGCATAAATGTTTTCAATGCACAGGGGTTTTCATTGGCGACATCTTTAGATTGCAAAATCAAGGTCCACTTTGCAAATTATTATGATTTTCCAAATGTAGAATCCCACACTTGTTTCATAATACAGAAAGCAAGACAACATATTTACCGCACGATCAAGCACATGTTAATTAAAACAAAACAAACAAAAAACTCAGAAAAAATATGGCAAATTGTCACATGTATTCATATATTAAAGCTTCAGGGAAATGGATGGATAAAAGATATAAGTCTTGTACAAGTTTGTGAATATTGCATCTTAAAATCCTCACAAGATACACATAAAGTGGTAACTGAACAAAAAACAAATAAAAGGCTCTTCATCCAAATAGCAGATTTTGAAGGTCATTCAAAGTTGGTTTGCGTTAGGTATTCTACAGGTGTAGTTAGCAGGACGGTGAGCAGCTTTTAGCTGGTATAAAACATTATGACACTTTGTGTAGTCCTTGAAGAACACTACTGCATGGTATGGATTAGAACCAGAATGAAGTCAACAGTTCAACAAAATACAGACAAGAGTTCAAGGAAATGTCGGCAGTTCATTATCAGTAGTAATAACTCCCATAACAGTTCCCATTGCTACTATTATGCTACTTTCAGTACTGTTTTATTCATAATTCAAGCAGAGGTTGCTGCTCAACAGAAGGCAAAGTAGAACTTATTAAATGCACAAACTAGGAACACCAAATTCAAGGTCCCAAGTGTGACATTTAGCAATCTGATGAGACTGCGTTTTAAAAGGTACACCAAGAGGTGTGTCAAGAGTTCTGTAACAAGTTTTCAATTATTTTTGGTGCAAAGAACGTAGACAAGAAAAGGAAAAAAAATATTCATTTGAAATCCAGTTAGTTGGTTCTTTCAAATATGACATGGGATAATGGTTTGTAACAGATGCTTATATCCTCTCTATTAAAGAAAACTGAATGGATCTGATAAATCACACATAAAAGTCTTGCAAAATGTTTAGGTTCTTTAAAAAAACTATACATGCACCTGAAATGATTATGCACTGAAAGCAAAATCCTAGGTTTCATTACCTAATTGATGATTTAGCTTTCACATAACCTAATGTTGATTTTATCACATGGAGAAGTGGGACCTTATGGACTGTTCCCCAAAATAGAACATCACTGCACCCATGATAAGGCTTAAAGAACCAAGTGGAAGATATAGACAATGATATATGTGGCTCCATTCACAATGGTACAACAGCTAGACCTAACTGTGGAGGAACAGAAAGGGAAACTTTATGTCCTGCTAACTCTGCTCAGAAAATTGTAGCAGCTATTTTTTTCTGCACATCTTCCTTTTCCTGGTGCCATTTTCCAAATATTGTCTCAACATCTTCTGAAGGTTTTCCTCATTCAGCATATCAGTAGAACCAGTTGTTATAATCACAGCTGTGCTGTGTTAGTCACTTGAGAATGATCTCATCATCCTGCCTTAAGTTGCATCTTCAACAGGTGCCCTTCGCTGCCGGGCTGCTTTCTGTCTACTCCTTTGAGGAGTGGGTGATGCATCCTGTTCAGCCTCTGGCTCAGTGACTTCATTATCTCCCTGTTGAGATCCTGTATCTCCTATAAGCTCTCGTAAGAACTTAAACTTGGATAAGAAGAGCTGCCACACCACATACCAACCTAGAAAAGATGCCAGAAAGAATTACTTTGTGAGCATTAGTCTGGTAACTTACAGTGACAAAGATACACAGACCATGAATCAACATTTCCAGCTGGTCCACAGAATATTAAAGAATTGATCTATTTCCTAAAACGTATTGTACAAAATGTGCATATATATTACAGGTGTAAAATATTATCACTAAAAATGACAAAAATCTTGCAGATGTTTGCTCTTTCTTCTTCAGTTCTGGAGGTTATAGTTTATAACTGAGAGACAATTGTATACAAATGACAGCATAAAGGGATCTGAAATGAGATACAATATGTATAGGAATAAATCATAAACAATTGATACTGTGCCCACAACAGGGATGGTTTGTTTTCCATAGTTGTCACACAGGTTACAGAGCCCATATGTACTGAGAAATAACTGTCCAGGCCTTACATATATAAAAGAGTTGGGCAACTGCTGATCTCCAGACAATCATCACTATCATGGAACTGAAGAGCTGGAAGGGACCCTATGGATCATTCAGCCCTTGTCAAAAAGGTACAGTGGGGAATTGAACTCCCAACCTCTGACTCTGCAGCCAGAGATCTAAGCCACTGAGCTATCCAGCAGTTCATGCTGGGCTGCAATACCCAGTGTCCAACAGTACTGACTACAGTTGTACCCCGCTGGACGATTACCCCGTTTAACGATGAATCCGCTTAACGTTGAAGTTTTTGAGATTGCAAAAGCGATCGCAAAACGATGTTTAGATTGGGGTTTTTTGCTTCACGTTGATCAGTTCCCTGTCTCTGGAACCGATTTTTCGCTTTACAACAATCAGCAAACAGCTGATCGTCGGGTTTCAAAATGCCCGCCGGCTTTCAAAATGGCCCCCCGCTGTTTTCTAGGACGGATTCCTCGCTATACAGGCACCGAAAATGGCTGCCGTATGGAGGATCTTTGCTGAACGGGCAGGTATTCAGCCCATTGGAATGCATTGAACCGGTTTTCAATGCGTTTCAATGGGTTTTTTAAAATTTCGCTTGACAATGTTTTCGCTCTTCAGCGATTTTGTTGGAACGAATTAACATTGTCAAGCGAAGCACCACTGTATTCTGCCCAGGGCTGATGCAGATTGTAGCCCACCTGCTACAATGTGCATCAGCCCTGGCTACAACACGTTCACCGTTCCTATGGGCCCTCTTGTTCGTGTTCTTTATTTTATACCATATCCACTCATTAGAAAGAAATACTAGTGGCTGCCAGGATGGCTTATGTTTGTTAATGAAAATGTAAAGATAAACCTTTAATAGAAAAATGGTTGGGGGGAAAATGGCGTATACTCCTCCATTTGTCAAGCTAATAGCAATCCATACATTTCCACATACATTTGTCTTCTTAGAATACCAGAACCTCTGCTTGTTATACCATTACAAGTTAAACGGGTAAACCCAATAGATACAACAGTATTATGCCTTTTAAATCAGGTGTTTTACCTTGTAGCAAAGACAAAGAATGTGTGGCACTCCAGCTGTTTTTAGACTGCAGTTCCCTTGATTCTTCAGCATTGGCTTTACTGGCTAGTGCTGATGGGTGGTTCAATCTAATAACATCAGGAGGGCCATGCATTCCTTGCTATTGCATTAGACAGTAGGAAAATTATGCTCCTTTGATAACCTTATTCAACAACTCCCTGTAAAAGACAAAGCTTTTGGAGTGTCAGTGTGGTCCAACATCCAGAGTACCACGTATTCCTCAATCCTGGCCTTAAAAAAGTGGTTTTTCCCATTCAGTTTACCTGTATTACATGAATCAGTCCCCCTACATTCTATATGCAAGGCCCTGATCCATACTCTGCAACATTTGGAAGTACGCCTAACATGAACATAAGGGTAAGTCTTCTCAGTGGTGGCACTCAGATGGTGGAATTCCCTCATAAGAAACATTCAGTTATCTTTCTCTCTTGAGATTTTGTGAACAATTTGACCCTGCTTTTCCATTTTTTAAAATTTCAGCTATGGAAGACGAACAGGTCCAGTGGACTTTATGCTCTCTGCTGCTGCTGCTGTCTTAATGCCAAATGATGTATTTATCTATTTACATTATGGATCTTGTACATTTGTGACTTTAACCTGGAAGCTACCTTTGAGATCTAAAAGATTGGATATTTTATAAAAGAAACAGAGACATGCTTCCATCCCTAAATAATTGTTAGTGAAGATGCTAATTTGTGGGGTTTATTTAGAGGGAAACTGCACCACAACCAACTGTGCAAAGCATACTGTATAAGCAAAAGTCAATTAAAATATGAATTAAAAGCCAGTTAAATGCCATTCACCAAAAAGGGCAGCCTTGCTAGAAAACAAACAGGATAAGAATAAGTGCACCCCGAAGGCTAATTATTAATGGAGCTCAGGTGCTTCCATAGCCAAATACATGCATTAATTTTTGTATTTTTATAATCCTTTAGTTTTAATGAGGCACCAAAACATGGAATATTGCAATTGGGTGACAGACATCTCTTACCTGAATACAAAACCACTGTACAAGTTAAGCCCTAGTACATTTTCAGTAGCAAAAGCAACAGTTTTAAAACACATATGCACACATAAAAATGTGCTTCTTTAAAAGGAACAGGTGTGTTGCACTGCAGCTGCCAAATGCCTTCAGGGGCTCAAGCAGTGCTTTCCTGTAAAAGAAGCTTTTGGCAAAGGAAGACTTCCAAACACCTCTTCCCAGCATTTAAGGATGAGCAGCTTGGATCATCCATCTTGGTTCTAGCTGCGATGCAAGGAAAATGAGTACAACAGTAGTTATTCTTTTGAACTTCAACCTTGTATTAAGTTCCCAAAAGCAAATAATTTGGAAAAGTTTAGCTTATTCTCAAAGAGACCACCAGGGTCTGCATTGCAAAAGAGGGAAGCCCTTCCTTTTCCCCAGAGTAATGGCTTGCCACTAGATGAGTGAGATATAAGTACAATCAATCAGTAATCATTTTTTCCCATTGTCCAGATGAAAATACAGACTTCTATCCTCTCCAGGCTGGACAGACAACTTTCTAACAGATTGCAGGGCCAATCCTAACATTAAGCAGAAGGAGACAACAGTCTCAGGCAGCAGAGGCTGGGTAGCAGCAGCAACATCAGCCTCCCACGGGTCTCTCTTGACCTCCCAGGTTAATACCCTCTGCTGGAAGATAAAATCATACATACCACACAACATTGTGGAGCTCCCCCATCCCCAAATCTGCTGCCTCAAGTGTGTAGCAGGAGAAATGATCCTACTAGAAGTGCACGTCGAGTACATTTCAACTGCTAGGCCACCAGGGATCTCCAGGTAGGGCTAGTTAAGAATCTGGTCTGAAAGTCTGGAGCACCATTGACAGTCCTGGGCAAGAGGAACTAAGGGCTCATTTCAGAACTAGGCAGCTTCCTCGGTTCCTTATGACAAAAGCACTCTTCTCATGTCAGCCTGTTCTAAGGTGCTCTGGCGAGAGCTGCTCCACTTAGCTGGTTACTGAAGTCTTACTACAACAGTAGACATGGTCTTGAGGGGCGGGCTATAAATTTAAATAAATAAATAAATAAAATAAACAGAATTACTGAATGATGAGATGCCCTCATAAATCACCCCTAGGCTTTGTGCTAGCAGAACTACACTCCTTTCACCCCCAAGGCCCTGTTTCTGTATTTGAAAGAGTTGGAAAGACGCAAAAGATTACGTTTCTTCCACAGTGTGTTTTAAAAAGGAATATCCTTGGGGCTGCTTTCCTTCTTTTAGTAGCCTAGAGCTGAACTGCTGAAGCTCTGGTGGCTAGCTGGCTTGCTGCTGCCACCAGGGCTGTTGAGACAATCACACCTAAACACCCTCTCCAGCGCAGAGATCGCCCTTCGCCCTGGTTCAACCAATCAATGAAGCGAAATACGAGAAGGCTAGAGCGCATATGGAGGTGGAACCCAATGGAAAATAACCAGATCGCTGTCACGACTGCAACTAACCTTTACCAATCTAAGGTGAAAGTTGCTAATCAATCTTACTTCACTACCTGGATAAGCAAAGCTTCCAAAGCAGAACGCTTCCGTATAGTTCACGATCTATCTGGAGTTGGTCATAGCGACTGGCCTCCCACTAACATCTCACCTGACCAATTTGCAGCTTTTTAAAAATCAAAAGTGGAGGCCATCCGCCAGGATCTTACTCCCTATTTGAAAAACAGTGGATGAACCAGAAACATCCAGCACTCCGTCTTGCCCGGTGGGATTTAATCACTTTCAGCCTGTGACGTCAGACATGGTGGACAGAGTGCTTGATTGCTGTCGCGCCACCACCTCCTCCCCTAACGCTTGCCCGGCCTGGGTAATCAAAGCAGCCAGGCCTATAACATCTGAATGGGCTACGGCAATAATTAAGGAGTCTCTCCAGGAGACACTCATTAGGCCCATTAGGAAGAAACCGAGCTTGGCTCGGTATTGGTAATTATAGGCCCGTCGCCAATGTTTCTTTCCTTAGCCAGGTAGTTGAGAGGGTGGTGGCCGATCAGTTGCAGGCTCTTCGGGATGAAACCAATGCCCTGGATCCATTCCAGTCGGGCTTCAGGCTGCACCATGGCATGGAAACGGCATTGGTCACCTTGTTTGATGACCTATTGAGGGAGCAGGTATTTTGGACAATAATCACCATAACTATTGATATATTATTAATTTAAGAGCATTTTACAGAAAATACAGTTAACAAACAAAACAAAACAAACTGCTCAAACTAATAAAACTATAGTAAATCAATAAAACACTTTATTCAAAAATAATTTAAGAACAAAAGGGTAACGTGATGTTAACAATAAGCACAACACATACATTTTCAGTTAATTTACAGGTTGAGTAACAGTTGACAATTCCTTGCCGCTGACCATGTTGGATGGGGAAGTCCAAGATATATGGAAGTAAAAAGGATCCTTATCCCAAGCAGAGATGCTACTTACTCATACAATTATTTTTAAGAAACATCTTTACAGCTCCAAAGGTTTTTCTTCCTCTCCAAAAAGGTTATTTTTCCAAACTCTGCACCTTTTCTCAGTGGCGAAGATTCTCTGACAGAAGTTATCATCACTTGTGAAAGGAACATAGGAAACCACTCTCCTCCAGGTCAACCTGGTTGTTAATCTAGCCCACTAGTATCTATTATTTCTCTTCTGGCCTGCCATGAACACTGGTCTCTCACTACTCACAACATGCTCCATTTAGCTGGAAATGCCAAGGAACCTCCTGGCACCAAAGCATGCCCTCAGGCACAGAGTTGCAGCCCAGAGATGCACCCAACACCTCCCACTACAGCATCCAAGCTAAATAGGTTTCTCCAGCTCTTCAGACATTTGCAAAACCTGTTTGCTGAGAAACAGCAGGACAAAATATATAGAGTGACTCCATTGTTTGGCAATGATGCTCTTTGGAGGGCAAGAAAAAGCTGCCTGAGCAGTGGGTGGGCAGGGAAAGCTGCAGGAAGAAAAGGGAAGACGATTCTGTCACATTCAGGCACTAACACAATGTTGTCATGCCCAGACAGTATTCAGGCCTCTCAGTCTTAAATACTCACCCTGGTATTGAGAGATGGTATTCAACAGAATTTGACTGTGCAGCCCAGAATAGTCAAGAATATATACAGATGGAAACTTAGAAAAGAAATTCCTTCCAACTGTTCTTTGAGATCTCCAGCCTGCTGCTTGGATGCTGGAGGAGACTACAGTTGACATACCTCCCACACTGTAACAAAACCTTCTGATCAGCTTCGGTCATCGAAAAAGAAAACCAGATAAACAACTCTGACCATATCTTATATTCTCTCCTCCTACCCATGTTTTTCTTTCTTTACATCCTAGTGTCAGTACAGTCAAAACTGCCATTCCCTTAGAATACCTTAGGTGTGCTTATCAAATCTAATTTTGAACCTCTCCAGGAAGCAAAAGCCATTAAGAAAACTGTGTAAACCTTACTAATCCAAGGGGGCCAGACTAGGAAAGGCTTGCAAAAGAGCACACCAGAGTTAGACTAACCATCTTAGTCTTGCACTGCTGCCCCCTCCCGGTCACTTGAGAGGCAGCTGCATTTCAGTCAACTTCCCATCTTTAAAGGAGCAAAAAGGAGGAGGCTGAGCTTGTATCTCCCTTGTCACACAAAACCCATCCCTGGGCATCCTCCCCTCCTGATTCCAGCCCTCATTAAAATGCAAGGTGTAACATTTGTCCATCTATGAACCTCTCGTAAGAACATTTCATAATGCAATAGCATAATAGGAATGCATATAAAATAATAGATAATTTTCTAATAATGCTAGCCATCATATATTTTTTTGCTATTTGAAATCAAAGCTCTGCAGTCAAAAGAAGTGGTAGTGGTGGTACTGGTGATGATGTGCACCAAGTCAATTGTAACTTACGGTGATCCTTTTCAGGGTTTTCTAGGTAGAGAATACTCAGAAGTGGTTAACCATTCTTTCGAGGGCATGCTGGGACTGTGCCACAGAGGCTGGCTCTTTGGGGATGGACAAGGGAAACTGAACCGCTTGGCCAAAGCCACACAGGCTGGCTCTTTGGGGATGGACAAGGGGGAACCAAACTCCCTACCTCTGGCTTCATAGCCAGATATCGAACTCAACTGCCTACATACAAAAACACTCATCATGGTGTCATGGGTAAGGTTCTGAGTTAGGTCAGAAAATGCCTGGGTTCAAATCTCCATTTGTCCATGAAGCTCATAGGCAGATCTTAAGTCAATCACTCTTTCTACCTAACCACAGGGTTGTGGCGAGGATAAAAACTGGGAAAAGGAACATGCACAAAACTGGAAAGGCACAATATTACTGTAACAAATAATAAAATAATTATGATTGATAAAACTAAAATTGTGTGAGTGTGGCTGCTTTTAAATTTTCCATAATAAAATACAGAAAAAAACTTATTATTAAAGAAAATAATACAAAAATCTAAACAGTGACAAAAATGAAAGATAAATGACCCATCTCCAGCCCTCGAAGAAGGGTATACTTACCACATAGCATGAACAGCAGGACACAAGCCAAGGTGGCCACAATGACCAACAATGTCAGGCCAATGCTTTGCCACATTTTCGCAGTTATGACCTGGGGCTGCTCTGGTCTCCACAGTTCCGGCTCATCAACCGCGAGGAGGAGGAGGAGGAGGAGGAAGGCAAGAGCCACATCTCGACTTTGCTCCGAGGGGGCGAGTGGCCAGTGAAAGGGCGAGCGAAAAACTCAAGAGTAGCAGCAGCAGCAGGCAAGCTGCTCGGCTGGGAAAGCAAAGGCGCGCGCTTACGATCTGGATGGCGACTCTTCCCGTCCAAGGTCTTCCCACCGCCAATCAAGAGGCAGGGAGTTCCAAGGGAACAGGGCGAAGCCAGAAACAGCAAGAGCTAAAATTGAACGCAAGCGGATAGGAGAGGGGCTGCAGCCGAAGCTAAAATAACCGGAAAGGGTTTTTCCAGCGTGAAAAAGCAAAGGCGAAGCGGATGGATGCGGAAATCTGGAAGACGAGAAGCCTGCGGCTGAGGCGAGCCAAGAAAGAAGCTCCGCATTATTTGCTGACGGTTCCGAGCCTAACCACCTCCATCACTCCTTGTGAGGGACGGGGAGAAGGACCAGAGACCCGTTCCCCTCGAGGCACAGACATTTTGTTTCCCTTCCCTCACAAGACGGCCGCCGCAGAAAGAGCTGGGCGCCTGGCAAGGAGGGAAGAGCAGCCCGGGAAGGAAAGCGCTTCGTCTTCCATCACCCGGACATGGGTGATCTTCCTTTCCACCCTAGCAACAGCGAACGAACCCATGGGAAATGTAGTTTGATTTGAGGCGATTCGCCCGGCAACCACTTGGAATGGGCTCCATTAAAACTTCAATTCCCATCAAGCTCAGCGAATGAGGGCCCGCCCTCGGCCCGGCCCACGCTAGGTGCAAGATGAAGCAGAAGGTGGAAAGTTGCCAGGTCTAAATCAGTGCAACAGCTTCCGGAGACGTTTAAATAAATGACTCTTGGGCGTGTATTTTATTTTTTTTTTTACATTTGTAGTGTGCGGATGTTTCCTTTTTCAAAACATTTCCCTCCCTTTCTCATAGGTTGTGTACTGGAAAACTCAATTTTTAATGAAAAAGGATTTAATAATGTAAAAAAAACTTTTCGGGCAGAATCAATTACGTCTGAAAGACAAAGAGCGAATTCTTTGGCCGCCTTAAATTTTAAGGAGGGGGGGAAAAAAAACTTAAATAGAAAATGAATACATTCATGTGGTCCAGGAGTAAAATGTAAAGGGACACGCTTCGGTAATACTTTCCTCGGGGTTGTTACCTCCCTCTTGCCCTCGGCGAGTTTAGGGGAAGGGATTGGAAAAGGAGATTTTTCTGCTTCTCCCTCCTCCCACCTCTATTAGACGCACGTCGTGTTGCCTCAATTGGCAGATTATACCCGTTTGGAAAGGGTGAGGAGGGGAGAAAAGGTGTTGCAATCAGCGAGATCAGAGGAATTGAAATTCAAGTACAAACATTTAACGGCCATCAACAAACAGAGCCTTCCCCTGATGAGCTGGCTTAACATATCTACCGCGATAAGGGAGTTCATATCCCAGGAGATAAGAGATGAAACTTTTGATGACTCTTTTTCAGCTGTTTCACCTTAGGATCTCTCTTTCAAACCCTTTTGTTGAATATACATACATAAATACATACATACATACATACATAGATACATACATACATACATACATACATACATACATACATACATACACCTTCAGGTGAAGCAACAGACCAAGGAGTACCTACCTACCTACCTACCTACCTCTTCAGGTGAAGCAACAGACCAGGGAAAGAGGAATGTTTTTTAATACAGGTTTTTGGATATTGCCAGTTGTATCTATTGATTATTTTGTCAGAGACTTGAAAAAAGTGGGGAAACACGGGGTCTGCGACCTCAAGGTGGCCCATTCTTGGACAAAAGAATTTTACAGAAATCCAAAGCACCTGAAAATAAATTAGCTTTTATATCCTGGATATGGATAAAAGTTGTGGGTTTTTTAAAAAAAAGTATTACATATTTTAACCCCTTTGACGCACATATTAATGTGCTCAGAGGGGGCTGGTTGAATGTTACAGGAAGCTGAAAACAATACTGTGTGGAATAGCAGGGACACTTGGAGTAGAATGGTCAAAACTGAAGCACTAGACTAATCAGATGCATCTGTCCTCAGGAATTAGTCATGTCAGCAAAAAGGAATTGATAGTTCCAGTGATGAAAGGAGTGGAGAAATGCTTGAAGGGCAGCTTCCGGGCAGCAGTGGCAGTGGGTGATGACACTGGTGGGTGATCTTTCATAGATAGCAGCATTGACACTTAAACTGATTCTTGTTAGTACTGTGCAAAAGAGGAATAATAAAACACTTCTGGATATTTTGTCTCTCAAAGTACTATGATTAGACAACATGACGTGAAATGAGAGGTAGTGCTGGAAGATTAGACTTCCAAGTCAAAAGGCACTCAGTTGCTTGGGAAGAACAAAGAATAAGTGTGAATAGCACTTTCACTAATGAAGCAACTGGACTAAAGCCAAAAGGATGTCTAGTTGCTGAAATACAAAAGAGTCAGAAGAAAGGGCCAGTGCTGCACATCACATATAATGAGAACTTGAAATGTAAAACATAAGGATCAAGAGTAGCTTGAAACTATAAAACAAGAAACAGAATGTTTAAACATTGTAGTGTTTCGTGGGAGAGAGTAAAATGAACTGAAATATGTTAATGTTAGTCAGACAGTTGCAAAATGTTTTGCTCCAGAAACAACACGTTTACAGGCGTACCTTGGTTTATGAATTTAATGCATTCTCCAGGACATTACATAATGCAAAAAATTGTAGCAAAACATGGTTTGCCATAGGAATGGGGGCAGCGCTATAAACCTCCAGGCACAATGCATCCTGGGGAGACTTGCCTTGTACTGCGGGAAAAAAATCGTAAACTGAGGCATTATTTTCAATGGATTTCTGTTTGTAGACCGAAAATTACATTAACCAAGGTGTTCGTAAACCAAGGTACAGTGGTGCCTCGACTTACGAACCTCCGAATTATGACCATTTCAAGTTACGACCAGCTCCAGCAGCAAAAAATTTGCTTCGACTTGCAGCCAGAGCCTCCAGTTACGAACAGAAAAAGGCAGGGGGAAAAGGTGGGGAATTCAAATTGCTAACTGTTCATAGGCGAAGAGGCTGCTTCTTTGTAGCTCTTTTGCCCCAATGGTTAGAGTGAGTGCGATCGGAGGAGGCTTCGGACTGCCTGGTAAGGTAAGGTGCTGCTTTCTGATTTTTAAAAACTGTTCTGGTTAGGTTTTTGCAGTGTGGTTTTGGGCTGGGGGGTTATGTTTCTGTGCTGTGATGGGTTTTGGGGGGTTTGCTTGCGTTTTGGGTTTTTCCCCAATTTCTGATGAGTCTTGGGGGGTTTGCTTTTCTTTTTTTTCCCCCTCCTTGGCCGGAAGTGATTAATCGCATTTCTGATGGGTCTTGCAGTTATTCATTCATTCATTCATTCATTCATTCATTCATTTATTCATT